AATCGGGCTTCCGTTTGCATTTGGTAGGATTTCCCAGGAATATTTCACAGAATGTATGATTACATTTTCTGTGTGTTTAGCCACGTAATTCAATTCACAGAATTAAATTGACTAAAGCAGGCAGGGAAATTATGAAATTAAATGCTTTCTGAAAGGGAAAAATAATTCGAAAAGAAGATTATGTTTAAGAGCAAACTTTGCGGAAGTATAATTTGTGAAATTTAATTCGATTTATTTGCTTTAGCCAACTTTTCAGTTGTGATATCTTTGCAAAACGAATCTAAACATTTGCATTAATTCAATAAACACGACAGGTATTTATTTGTGTTAACAAAGTCAATTTACATAAGCGACGGAAATGTTTCTTTAATGCCTTTATGTGTTATCATTTAAAATATCTGTTTTCGCTCCCAATTCAATTAAAATGTACAGAAAGCAACAAATTAAAGCAATTATTTCTGCTGAAATTAAATTTATACCGCTTGCATTTCCTTTGCTTGTTCAAGGCTCCAGATGAATTCCGCTGGGGGCATTTTGTGTGGCAGGCTAATCGTTCTTTTGATCATTTTGCGGCTGATATACAAGCCACCCAGATGGAAAGGACGGTTGCGGGGAAAAGCACAGGATTAAATCCGCCAAATATTTAAGGAAGGATATTTATGAAATTCGGGCCATAAATCCGTATAGATTCCTGTACAAAATGACGACCTTGAAATCAGTGCGCACTCAGGAAAATAAAACTCCTACTGGAAGTGCAGTAAAAGTTTGTGAAATTGCCTCTCAAAATTGCGTTACGCATAAAATAACACATTTTCCGGTTCACTTGGCAGGAAAAGAGCAGGAGCGGATCCTTCTGCTCGAGGATTATGCATAAAATGTTTGCGCACTGAAACTGAAGTTGTGACTTACCCTTCGCCTACACATGTGTACATTTATATATCAAAATCAGAGACAAACATCAGCGGAAAATGCTTATTTTTTCATTTTGTTGTTTTGCCCTTTTTTGCTTTACTTTTTTTGCTCGTTGGGTGAGCAAATTGAATTATTCCGACACGACACACTGCTTATTTCGGGTTCGCCACGTGGCGTATGCGTTATATTGAAAGCCAAAGTCAAACAGTTTTCCTCTTTATTTCGAGCTTGTTGCTTTGATTGGCTGCAGCTTCTGCTTTGGCCTGTTTGATGTTTGCTAAACTAATTTGGCTGAAGCAGCAGTAGCAGCAGCACAAGTGGAAATAAAACGAGGGAAAGCAGCTGTGGAAGCGGCGAAAGTTTCCTTTGCTCCTGTTTGCATATCAAGTATACGCAACGTTGATTGGATTTGTAAACTGACCAAGACACTGTCCGTCAAGCCCTCCCCACATTCCCCTAGTTAAGGACACCAGCTTAATAATCATTTCTGCTTAAAGCTCAGCGTCGCTCAGCGATTTATATGCACTGAAAAAAATGTTTTTCCTTCTCTTTGAAAGAACAAGATTTTTAGAGGTATTTGTAAGTTTCTTAAATTCAAGCTAATTTAGTTTTATGGAAGTGCTACAGTTTGTTTCTTTATTAATGGTATATCTTATAAAGTTATAGGATATTTCTTCCTGTTCAGCCGCAATGTCAAGCTAAGTTACGAACTGGATGCGTGTGTATTTGGGTGAGTGGATGAGCGTGTGGGTTGGCGTTATCCTTGGCACGTCCTGCAGGCATCGACGTTGGGCCTGTCATGTTCACCTCCGCCATGCAAATCTGACAGGATATGGCATCTGCTCTCTCTCTCTCTCCCTGCGTCGCCTTGTGTTTGTGCATATAAGGATATTGCATTTCGGGTGCGATGGCGAGATGGCGATGGCGATGCTCCGCTTGCCAAGCAGAATGGGTTAACACCTCTGCATCCATAATCGTTCACATCCGAGTCGTAAAAAGACAAAACCAGCACATAATGTGGCCACTTTATGATGCCAAAGAGGATTGCGCCGCTCCCTTCGATTGTGTGTTTTGTGGTTGACGATTCGAAGGATATCCCCGGGGCAAGCTGTCCTTTCCTGGATATTATTTGGTCAGCTCAGAGCAAAAAATGGATGAAAAAAGTACGGCTGCAACATATTGGTTTTCTATTTATATTTAATACATAGACTTACTTATTTCGGTTTCCAAGGAACATATTAAAGATTTATGCTGAAATATGAACATATGTCCACAGATTTTATTCTACTTTAAAGATTTACAAATGAAAACAATTTCATCCAATAAACAAAACTCCTGGAAGTATGCCATGTAATTTAATTAAAATTATATAAATTGCACTGATGAATCTTGTACATAAGCATTTGATTTAGCCAGCTTTTACATCACTCAACTTAATTTATTTTAGCCACCATAAGCTTAACGTGTGGCTTTTTCCGACACGCTCGTTACAAAATCTGTAATAAAGTTTTGCGAAAACTGCGGCTGGCGTTGTTCAGCGCTTTCAGCATCCATAAACTCGAGGTGGGAACTTAAAGTGACGTCATAAATTTCGTCAAGTACTTAAAGTGGCGGAAGTGTACACTATATTTTCCTCCTTCGCCCAACACTTTGACTTGTGGCTAATGAATTTATGTTGTTGCCGCTGTTTCAGTTGTTATTTTTCCCGGTTACTATTTTGATGAAGACGATGATGATAAACCAGGAGCAGCGGCAATGGCAGAACTTAAACTTTAACGCAGCGAGTTGATTGTCGTGAGGTCGTGCACTTGATATCCCGCCAGCTCAAAGATTGTGCACAGAGAAAAATATATATAAGATATAATATAAATTAAATTTTAGATAAATACTTTTTCTTGTGTAAATCATGAAAACCTGGGAATGCAAAACTAAAGCTATTAATATGGAAATGATTCCGTGGGGTATGTTGTATATGCAAAGAAACTAGATATTTTAAACTGAAAATAGAATTTTTAATGTGTAAGCAATATGAAACTGAAAATGTTTATGAGTGCATAACATTAAAGGCGAAACTGTGGACCCCGTTGGCCAGGCTAAATCGAAAATTGTTTCATTAGCTCGATGGGATAAGAACAACAACCGAGCAGAATATCCATCAAAGTTTTTATTTGTGGAGCGAAGAGGAGACAGATATGGTACATAAATGGAACGGGGTCCCCAGCTGGCAGACACCTAAGAATCTCCTTTAGGAAGTCAAATTATGCAGCATGTGCATGATTGATTAACTTTGAATGGGGGCGTTGTTCGTGATTTGGCAAAAAAAAGCAAAGGAAAAGAAGAAAATTGGCGTGTGAGCAAACTCAATAATCTCACAAAAGAGTGAATATTAAATGGGAGGACGAGTAAGTAAGGGGGAAAGGGGAAAAGGGAAGGAAGGAGGGCAGGACACGGTCGACTGACACTTAATTAGAGGCACGCCGGAAACGGAAACGAGATGCATGGCCATCAAGTGGGTCGTGTGCATTCACGGCGGAAGACGTGCAATTTGCATGGTCAGGATGGCAAGGTCGCCAGGTTGCGACTGAGATATATGCATGTTTTCTATGGAGGGGCAAATGTGTGGAAAACTTTTAACTAAAGAGAAATTTTCCCGGAATTTAATCTGCATATGTTACTCAGAGGTTGCTTTAATCTATAGCTGGTTATAAAATCAATTCTAAAACACAGGAAATAGCAAACTTTACTTCAGTAATGCAAAGACCAGAAATATTTAAATTGGTGAGTGGGATAATGAGAGAATTTGGATGGAAGATTTTTTAAAACATTGGTAACAATGAATGCGTTCTTTTTTTTGATGAAGCTGTTTACAAAGTCAAAGGCAGGGAAAGGACCTTAAGGGGTTTTCAATTGCAGAACTTGCAACTTCTTGGCAATTCGGTTTTTGGGCGACTTTTCTATCTAAGCGGGCGTATCATAATTGCGGTCGCAGCGCAGGAAGTGCACAGGAAGAAGAAGAAGAGTGGAAGGGGGCGATGGTCGAGGGGGCGTGGCATTCCTGTGCATAATTGAAATTCCAGCCTAAACGCGTTTGTAACGGGAAATTGCGCGCGTTGCCAAAAAGCACAAAACCGGACGAAGGATGCGGATGCGAAAATGTCCACTCCACAAAAACAGTTTATTTATTTTGGTTTTTTAAATATGGCACGCACTTATTTCTCCTAGTTGTTTTTTTGTGCACAGAAAAAAAATATATAGGCATTAATAGAGCAAAAACAGAAATTATGCTTAATAAGAAGTAACAAACATAAATTGTTATAACTGTCTTTTTAAAATGCATAAATACTATATATTTTAGTTTTTCAACTGCTTTAGTTTTTAATATTATGTATCTGTTAACATTTGTTTGACATTTATTGCCTCCATTCCAAATCATAATTGCACAAGCAATTTGTTTGGCAAATAATTAATAAAGGCTTGAATGAAATACCTTTGGGTGACATTTGGCAAATATCCAAAGCGGAAACGTGATGTATGTGTTGCCGAAAATGTAATTAATTTCAAACCAAACAATAATTATTATGATGCACCACCGCGGCAAGTTGTTTGGCAGCAGTTATTGTAGTGGTAATTACATTTCGTAAACATATTACGCCCGGGGGATTCAATTTCCAACTCACGGTAATCACCCCCTTTCAAAACTCCCACTCATTAAGAGATTTATCATAGAAAAAAATTTTAATACATTTGAATTCAACAGCTGTTTCAATAGCGTTGCCACCTGTTAGTGAAATACAAGCTGAATCGCGCCAATCCGCGCATGTGCCGGTTTTCCAATGAGTTTCTGTTTTCCAGCGGAGTCCTTGTGGAAAAAGTCCGTGTGATAACTTGGCCAGTACACGCGGAGCCATCAAAACGTTAAGACGCGCTTTTTTAGAGCATTTTTGTGCAATTTAGTTGTTATCAAAAGTGGCTGAACACGGGAAAGTTAGAGACAAGTGGAACTACAGGAGCCTATATGAAAAAAACATGTGAAAGATAAGTGAACTAGAGATTAAATAGCATTTTAATTCCAAAAGTGACTAAAAAGCTGCACTTAACATTAATTATTGTTTATAATTCAAACAATAACGCTCTTTGCCAGAGCTGGGAACCCTGCCGCCCGCTCCCTCTCTCTCTGGCTCTCTTTTGGTGCTGCAAAATGCCGCTCGATCAGTGTTGGTCAACTCGCGACTCGCCGTCTAAATTTTAGCTGCTAAAAATGTTTTGTGTGTGTTTGCTTAATGTTTCCGTTGTTTAAGAGAGCAAAACAAATGCTGAAACTAAATGAAAATGAAGTGAAAAACTGATCTAGATGTGTGTGCGCGATGCATTTCCTCGCAGAAAGCGAGGATCGAACCCAACTGCCCGCCCCCCGCCGCCAACCCCGCAAATCATTAAACGCGCCAGGAAATGAGAAATCATAAAAAGATTATGAACAAAATGTGAATGCATGTGTTCTCTTACCGCCGCGGTGTGCGTAAAATAACAACAAAGCTTTTGGCCCTGCTATCAGTTTGAATAAATAAACCAAAATCGAAAATGAGCGACAACTAGTGTAAATTTGTGTTGCCGTTGTTGTTGTTGTTGTTGTCGTCGGAACCCCCGCCTCTTGCACACACACACACGCACGCTCTCCCACTCACACACACACAGCCTCCCGGGAAAACAAACGAAAAAAGTTCCAAAACAATAATAAATAAATAAATTAACATATAATAAAGTAATAATAAAAACCAAAATAATAGAGGATTTAAAGGCTTTGTGTTTACTAAACCCACAAAATGCAGGCCAAAAAGCGTTACATACTGGTCTTTGTGTCCTGCGCTTTTTTGGCCTACGCCTATTTTGGGGGATATCGCCTGAAAGACTCGCTATTGAGACCCCGTAGAGCCCAGCACGAATCGGCCAAGGATGGTGGAGTTCAACCGCACGAGCAGTTACCCAGTTTTATGGGCTCCCCCGAACTGCAGGAACTCCAGCTGCTGCAGAGTAATAAATCGAAGATCCCAGCGGAGAACCCAAAGTACCAGGCTCCTCGCAAACCCGACTGCCGCATGGAGACCTGCTTCGACTTTACGCGGTGCTACGATCGTTTTTTGGTCTATATCTATCCACCGGAACCCCTTAACTCCCTGGGCGCCGCCCCGCCCACGTCGGCCAACTATCAAAAGATACTCACTGCCATCCAGGAATCGAGGTACTATACCAGTGATCCCACGGCCGCATGTCTCTTTGTGCTGGGCATCGATACCCTGGATCGGGATTTGCTGTCCGAGGATTATGTGCGAAATGTGCCCTCGAGATTGGCCAGATTGTCCCATTGGAACAATGGCAGGAATCACATCATCTTTAACCTGTATTCGGGCACTTGGCCGGATTATGCGGAAAACTCTCTGGGATTCGATGCTGGGGAGGCCATTTTGGCCAAGGCCAGCATGGGCGTACTGCAACTGCGACACGGTTTCGACGTCAGCATCCCGCTCTTCCACAAGCAGTTCCCGCTGAGGGCCGGAGCCACGGGTTCCGTGCAGTCCAACAACTTTCCCGCCAACAAGAAGTATCTGCTGGCCTTCAAGGGCAAGCGGTGAGTCAATAAATTTTATTTATTTATTAATTTTTGATATATATAGGGTCTATAAGAGTCCATGAATCGTTTAATTTCCAAGAAGCGGACAAACGATAAATTCATTTTGGACACAAACTCGTTTAAAACCAGAGAGGAAAAATCTGTTTTTCTTGGAAAACCTTAACCTGCATCTGGTTCTCTCTGAAAAAGATAGAGGAACAGTTTTCTTTTGTTAATATAAACCATTCCAAAGTGAATGATTGTGTTTTTATAAAAATGGAAGTAGATTAGTCAATGAGAAAAACTATTTTTAGAAATATATTATACCTATTATGAGTATCTCCTATATTTTTTGAAAAATCCAAAGATGTATCTGTGTTTAACTGAGGAAATAAATAACAAAACAAAAAGCATTCTACGAAGGAAAATGTTTGGCACTGACTTAATTTGATTATAACACAAAAAATTATTTTAAAAGCAATTTATTTTGGTCAAGCTGTTCTATCGCAACGAAAAGTTTAAACCTATGAGAGCCTTTTTAATACCTTTTTATAAAAACAGTTTGCGATAGTTTAATTCAATGCAAAAAAATAAAACAAAATCTATAGCGCTGTAAAATAGATTTTCTACCACACAATGTTGTCTGGCTAAAGAAAAAAAGCTCTTTTGCATTTTATCGTAAAAACAAAACTGAATTTACTGAAGCGGTTTAAGGCATCGGAGTGTATTAAGTTTAAAAGGTCATTTGCGATAAGATTTTATTTTATAGCGGTTTTATTAACGTTCATACTTTTAAGGTATTTAAACAAGAAAAACTTGAAAGTTGACATTGACATTATTATTGCCAGTAACTTACTTTAGTGAACTATTGCAATCTCAAAGAAGTTAAAGACCATCTAGCATAAAATTCCTGCAACATTTTGCTAAATTCCGAGCGCAGTCACGGGTAGAACAATACACTACAGCCTTAAATTCCACACCGATTGGAATAGCCCCCATTTGAACCCGTCGTCTGGCTTAGTCAGGCGGCAAATTGCAGGTTGCATCTATCGATGCCAATCCCCCGGCCTCCTCAAAAAAACAGGCAGAAGCCAGAGGAGCAAAAGCGAAAACCCAATCGAAATCCGAAACGTTTCACTGTTCGAGTTTCAGGCCCCCAATTCTTTTTTTCTCTGTTTGTTGGGCGGCCATTCAAATTGAAAAATTGTCTAGCAACGCGTCATTCGTCATGTCCTTCCATATTCCAAGTTGGTAGTTGCTCCTGTTTTTGGGGCTTGTCCCTTCAGTGTCCTGGGTTCGCTTTTTTGCAGTTGCTACTCTTTTGTTTGTCACTGCTTTATTGTTGTTTACTCGCTTTTGCCGCCCACAACAACAAAAGGAGCGGCAAAGGCAACAACAAGGAGTGGAATGACGCTTCCTTTGACATGTAACTCGATTCAGTAGAAGGTTTCAGGAAATGGACGCAAATATCAATTTTGATGATAACATGGTTGTTAACTTGGTTTTAGGTATAGGATATATCTAAAAAATTAGATTTTCTTCACTTAATTAATATTTTAAAAATCTTAAAACATAAGATTACAAACAATTAAGAATATGGTTAAATAAAACAGTTAGCCAAAAATATGTTTCTATATTTACTTTACAAAAAAGGTTAAACGACCATAAATATTTCCAGTGTAGGAAGCCCCAGTTCAACTGACCTTTGCCCTGTGTGAGTGGGTGTTAGTGGGCGATTGTTGTCTATGGTTTGCGGACCCCACTTTATCACCTGATATCCACGTGGCGACATGAGCTCATTGTGCCCTAATTTTAAATTGATTTTCGCCCTCACAAGCTTCGATAGTATGGGGAAACTTCAAATATTTCTATGGAAATTCCTCGAGGACAAGTTTTCATTAAGTAAAGTGCTGGTCAACAACAATTAACACTCTCACAATTAATGTTGAACAAGTATGTGAAGAAAGAACATGTGAGGCACTTTAAAATGACACACTGGTGAATGTTATTGTAAGTTGGATTCACTGTAAAAAATATTGAGCGTTTTATTAGAGTACAGTTTAAACGTTAAGGAAATCTATGAAATGCTATAGATATTTTTTGATTTTTTAAACATGTTACCTATACTATTCTGTAGATCCGCCAGATATTCAGTATCTAAATAAAACTTTCGAATAGGAGAATATCAGCAGAACCAGCAAAATCAGCAAACAACTCACATGGCAAAGTCGGATGAATACGTTTGAGGGTACGCCAAAGTGATGTTAAAGTTGTTAACAACACATACACAACTACGCACTCTCTAGAGGGTTGCTGGAAAAGGGGGGCGGGGGATGTCCCCACACCCACTTCACTTTACACATACAATTAAAAGCGAAAGGAACGACACGTACTGGGCCACTTTACAATTATGCGTCCAAACACCAACAACCACACTGAGGAAAAAAATTATTAAACAGACAGGATTATATCGAATTACGCTTGTAACAATATTAAAAATATTAATATGTTTGTTTACTTTCAATTAAAACTCTACAAAATGTTGTTATTATAAAGCGAATACTTCAGTATTTGTTTATTGTGTACCAATATTGTCGAACCGAGCAGACGGAAAGAAACCCTACCAAACTAGCCACACATCGCAAGGCCGCCACCTCCGAACCACCCACTCACACCACCCACATTTACATACCCAGTTGCCTGGACATCCTTTGCGGCCTGGGAAACTGTTGGAAAAGTTTTCTTTTCCCGTTTAATTGCAGCTCGCACTCTCCCGTACTCCGTGTGTGAATTGCGGGAAATGTGGGGAAAAAACATAAGCGACAGGGGCGTGGGGAAAATAAGCGGAAAAAGGGAGTGGCAGAGAGGGAAAGTGTGTTTTCTGGGGTCAGAGTTAATCTGTGGTTGGGAGTCTGCGTTTGACATTCTTTCTTTGGGGCTTTGGTTTCTGGCTTTTGCTGGCGAGAAATAGTCTGAGATTTGGGGATATAATCAATGCCCAAACAGGTTCCAATGAGATCATCAACGAGGCAAGAGAAATAACTTGACTATTATCAATCATTGCCGCTGATTAAGCTGACTAATCGATGAAGGCTGCAAGTCTCTTGACATCTAATGCAAATGCGAATGAAGTTTGGTCATCTCGAAATTGGCAGAAAACTTTTTAATTATGTGAAAGCCACCAAAGATGATTTGCAAAACTTATTAAGACTTTTGGGTCCCCTCTATTGATTATGTCTACTAACTCTTGTGAAAGTTAACAAGGCTAAAGTAGATCTAGACTAAATCTTTTTGGCAACTAATTTAATTCGTATTTAATTAAATATTTACACCACAATCACTTCAAAAAACTAGTTCACAACATTTAAGAAACCCCAGTGAACTCCTTTTAGCATTTAATGAGCACAATTTCTATGGCAGCCCAAATTGACTAAAGAATTTAGCGTCAATTTCTTGGGGAATCCCTGGAGGGCGAAATCAACTAGCGCGCTTTCGTGAAAAGCAAAGTTTTTCCGCAGAGCTCATAAAAATAAGCAAGTGAAACCGTTTGCCAGGTGCCAACGCCTTCGGTTTGCACGTTCTTGGCTCCGTTTTATTAACCCTTCATAACGCCGCTGATGGTGTGCGAATTTCATATGCTCGACTTATAGGGGAAGACGACATATCGCACATACTCGTATTAAGGGGTACATTCGCATCCGCTATCTGAAAACTTGGCTGCCTTTTTGTGACAATTGCTTGCCGCTTAACAGAAACTTGATGGGGCTTTTTATGAGTGACTTTCCGCAATTAGAGGGAAAACTTCACCCTGCGCCGGCAAGCAATTCACCTTGAAGGGCCCGGCAAGTTGTGCTCATAATTTGGTTTCCTCCAATTAGCAGAGAAACGAGGACGATTGCTACTCACTCTCCTCATCGGGCAATTATTTATTATTACTTTTTCCGAACCAGCTGCCGACGGGTTCTTTTTGTTGTTTTCGAAAGCTTTTTCGATTGACTGCGACGGGCCAACGACTATATATCCGTATACACATATATCCGGGACTTCTGACATTTGGAATTCGCTGCACATGTCCATCCATTGCTCTGGGATGTTAGCTTCTGGTTTTTGCTGGTTTAGTTAGCTTTGGGTTTCATTTGGTTGGGGATTTGGCCCTGGATGTGGATTTAGATGTCGGCTGGCTGTTGGATGTTGTTGCACAGCTCAGCGTGCGTAGTTGGCCATGCCAAATTGCAATTGCATTTTACAGCAAACATTTTTTGCTGCCACTTTGCCGGAGTCTCCACCTCCTCCTCCTCCTCCTCCTCCCGCCCACTGAACAAATCGCTCAAATCAATTCGTTGCGGTTCGCATTCGGTTTTATTTCATTGCGATTCGATTCGCTTCGCTTTTGCTGTGGGTTAAAATTAGCTTTCAGCTCGGTGCGAGCTTTAAACTTAATTAATTTCCCACAAAATCACAATTCGATCTTGGCTCTGGCCTTGGGGAAATTTTCGGTAACTGCGAAATCTAATCAAAGCCAAGTAAATTGCAAGGTGCACCTGAACGTTGGAAACTCGTAACCCGATAAAACCGAAATACAAGAGGAAAATTTTGAGCAAAGGGAAGCCCTTCTGCTTTACGCTGCTCAAATTAAAATTGTAACTTCAGAGTTTTCGATTCAGTGGCATTTCAATTAATGTTCTCCGATAATTCAATCTCCTCATATAAAAGAGGCATTTTAATTCGTTATTTATCCCTTCATTTACGCCATTCGAGGTAATTTAATTATTGTTTTACATTATTGCATTTTAATTTTTTCACACATACAAAAACTTTTTGTTTCCCAGAATTAAATTAGTAGCACAACGTGCAGTGGTTTTACATATTTAAAGTTTTAAATACCTGTATAACTTCTTGGGGAGTCTTTTGTGGCAAAAGCAGTTGTTGGTAAATAACCACTTACTATAAAAAATGTTTTATAGGTAGCACCTGAAACAAGCTCATAAACCAAAGAGCTATAAAATACATTCCATGGG